AATAAAATATACTGCTCAACTTATATAGGTAGTCAGGATATACAGGTGGTCAGATTTAGTAGTTTTACTGTTTCTTTGGAAGGTGTTGACCCTTCAGTGATCTGGTCCAATATCTATTCTGAATTTTATAAATCTGCATTAAAACCTTAATAAATGTAAGTGTAATATGCTTTAAGGTTTGGTTTCCTTGTTTTAGCTTCCACAAGGAAATAACTACAAGCATCAGATAAAACGGGGACTGAACAGAAACAGCACAGTTCAGATACAAAGAGAGTGGCTTTAACATTGTTGTAAAGGCACCTTTCAATGATGCAGCATCAAACATGTGAGACAGAATAAGTAATAAATCCGGAGATGCCAACCAAATTCTGACGTAATTAGGCAACGCCAATACTTTCAATGTTATTTAAATAGTGAAAACATAATGGCCAGAATGACGTCGAGCAAATTCTGACTTGTTCTCACAGAACTTGCAGAGCGATCTGCGACGTACACGTTGATTATCGGAGGTTTTGTCATGTATATGAAGTAAGGCAGTGTTGAAAGCATATTAGGTCTAGAGATTTTGCAAAATTGGGCCGTCTGCTTACACCGTCTATCCTTAATGCTTGCTTGATATTCGGAACACGTTACCAGACTTAGTTTTCTTACTTTGCACGTACGAGTTATTTATTGCAATCCATCGTATCTTTAAAACTGTATAAACCATTTTAGTCTACAACTATTGTCTGGGCATTTAATTCGATAAACATGTTTGTGCTTCTTTTGGAAGCCCGACTTTATTAGACTTGCCTTTTATTGGGTTACATAAAATGCTTTTCTTTCACTCACCGAAGGCAATAGATAAATGCTAGCATGCGTTGCTCTGGGTATTTAATGATTCCAGATAACACAACATTGGCAGACCCAAGGACCTGGCTTTTGGATTGAGGAATTTAAGCTGATACATTAGGCGATCACTTAAGCTTGTGATGTACACAAATTAAATCCACGGATTTAGAGTTATTAGACTTAGTTTGATAACGAGTAAAGCGCAAGCAAATTACGAAGAGTAAAGCTGTTACAAGCGTGCATTGTTGATGGTCATGGTGCCACCAACAAGACGATATATTTTACCCGTCTTGGAAAGCAAGATGCTCAACAAATTCAGCCTATGAGGATCACTTTTGTGGACAAAGGCCTAAGTAGTCTGAAAGGTTTGCAGATGCGTGTTCGTCCAGACCTGGACCTAGTAGTGCGGGAACGGCTCTAGTCTGCCATCATTGTGCTGAAATGACGTAGGAGTAAGTGGGAGACAAATCTCCGTATGGTAACGTTTTAGGTGATTTCCAGGAAGCTGCGAATCAGGATAAACAGGTTGTTCAGACTTCAAGCACGCCCGGCGGCTCCTGCTGTGGCCTGTCTGTAGTCTTCACCAAGGTTTGCAGTGTTATAAACAAGCGCGATGAGCTATGTTGTTTCGCTTCGTCTGAATGGCAAGACGAATTGGGACTCGCAGAGACATGGTTGCATTCAAAACTATACACCCAGGTACTTGAACTCAACAGTTACTCTTGCTTCCCATGCGATAGGCTAAGGAATGCCCGCGGTGGTGTCACTCTACATCTGGTCTTCTCCGCGTGCGAGACTTGTGTACACCTACCGAAATGACGATGTTTTGCGCAAGCTATTGTAGTGCTCCATCCACCTCAGCGCGGAGAACTAGTTGTGGGCGCAGTCTATCGTAACCTCCTGAGTCGTTGTTAGGATTGGATGCCCCATCTTCGAACCAGCATGAGTCGTCCACACCTACTACTTATGAGCGATTTCAACTGTCCTCGAATACCATGGTCTGATGTGCATTTGATGCCTGAACATGGTGAGGTAGAAGCAAAGTCCCAGGATTTGGTATTTGGAACTGTTGCATCGCAACACGTATGCCAGACAACACGCATAATACCACACTTAACCCCGTCCTGTCACGACCTGATGTTAACCAGCTACGAACAACAAGTGCGTGACGTTCGGATCCTGGAGCCCCTAGCTATAAGCGACCACTCGGTGCTCATAGATGATAAGGAATTGCCTTTGCCGTATTCACGTACGCTAGAACCAGCTCACACCTACTGGAAAAAGGACTTTTATTGGATTGGTCTCTGTCACAAACTGCATCGGTGGAAGACTGTCGGACATTTATAAAAGATAGATTGACAGCATTTTGTTCCCAATTTGTGCCCTTGAAATGTCGGATGGTTGGACCGATTAAGCCTCACCGGTTTGAAAAGGAGTATGGAAATCTGACTCGAAGGCGGCACAGACTGTGGGACAGATTCCTTCTATCTGGCTCTGCCAACGACTACGGAAGTTATAAAATTCAGCGGAACTTTTGCAACAGGGCAAAAAGGAATAAGCTCCGACATTTCGAAGAGCAGCTAGCTATCGCCTCGCAGACTTCACCAAAAAGAATCCCTGCTTACATGCCGCGACGCCTGAGGCCGGCAGGTGATGCGTCAGTGTTGGATGGCACGGACGGACAACCCGTAACCTCCAGCACTGAGAGTACGTCCGCGTTGGCGTCACACTTCGCTTCTGTATTTCTAAATGACCAGGTGCCAGTTCCGAATTCGACATGTACCGCTTTTACAGAACCAGACTGTCGGGATTGCGACGTTGAAGAAGTATGTCAACTACTTGCCAGTCTTGATGACGCCAAACCTGTCGAACCTGACTTGCTTCACTCCCTGATTATCATGTCACCTTCGGCTGTCATCTATCCTGTAGTAACTGATCTTTCAACTGGTCAATCTCCGAAAGTTCGTTGCCGATTGACTGGAAATGTTCGGTGGTGAAGCCTATTCCGAAAGGCGGCCGCCGCAGCAAAGTAGACAACTACAGGCCAATTTGTCTGACATCTATTTTAGCAAAGGTTGCTGAGTAAATCGTAAAAAATATATTATTACAGTTGCTACCGTCCAAAGGGGTCCTGAGACCCGCACAGCATGGTTTTATGCAAGGCCACTCATGCATTACAAACTTGCCTGTGACGAAGCATTAGGGGTTGAGGGCAATAAGCAAGAGGAAGTCTGTCGACGTGATATTCATGGATTTCATTAAAGCCTTCGACAAGGTCGGCCATGAGGTACATTGTCGATGTCTGACTGCACCAGTGCATCCGACATTTTCTTTTTGGGCGAAAGTAGAGGGTACAGTTTGACGACCATCTAACTGACTTGTATCCCTCTACAATGACCTGCCTCAAGGCAGTTTGCTGGTACCCACTCCGTTCCTGGTCCACATCCAATATCTAACTCAGCTTCTCAGGTTGCCGCGTGCCTTGTTTACGGACCATCTGAAGACTGGAGAGAAATCTACGCTCCCAACGACTGTGAGGTACTTCAGCAAGACCTCAACCGCCTATCCGCATGGTCTGCAGAAGTTCATGTCCCGGTCAACCCAGCCAAGTCTGTATTTATGCGCCTGGGGAGGGATGTTGTCGGCCGAACCTACATCATTGACTGCCATCCACTATATCCCAAGCACTCCGTGAGAGACCTAATTGTACTCACGCGCTAAGATTTGAAGTCCGTAAACAACATGAACTGGCTATATCGTAACGGACTGCGCATGCTTTGGACGCTCAAACGTAGCTGCGACACATTGTCTGGTGAAAATGCCACTCACCTCTTATCTTCAATCATAAGACCAATGCTAGGTTACGGTACGCCAGCCTACTTTTCGATAACCCGAGGCGAGGCACAAAATATCGAGCTACTCCAACACGTTGATGCCAGGCTTATCCCGAGTTTAGGTGACTTGGGGTATGAAGACCGGTGCGAGAAACTAGGACTATACACTTCGTTCTACCGTCGGGTGCGAGTCGACCTCATTATGACCTAGCGTATTCAACATCTCGGTTACTTCCCAATGCTAAGGACAATGCTGGACTTACGAGGGCCACACAACACACGCGGACACAGATACAAACTTGTCGTGCCGGATGCGAAGCGAGTTGCTCACCCACTGTGCTTCGAACGGAGAGTGTTGTATATTTGAAACAGTTTGCTTGAACATGTGATGGCGACACCATCTGTCCAGCAGCTCAAAACGTTGTTAGATTTAGGTTTTATCATTATTCGATTCAGAGAACTATTGCACACCTACGATGACACCTCAAGTCTGTGCGTCCTGCTATACGTGAGTCAGATATCTTAAATGTTACCTGAGAACCATAACGATATTCACGGCTGACAATTTTATAACATTGGTCACTATTATTTGAGAGTTGTACAGAATTCCTTTCTACTTACTCTATACTACAGTACTCAGTATGCAGTATAATTAAAGTTGGAAGTAGCAAACTAACCTTGGGTGCAAATTAAAAGACGGCATTTCATTCCATTAGTTCCTAGAAGTCTAAGACTGACAACACCTTGATCCTGAACGTGTGTTTCTAACGTTTTTTTATTTAAGGCAAAAACCCCAACCACAAAAAAGCAGTTACTGGTGAAGTAGTGTCTTGGAATTGTTGGACCAGCTCAGTTCAGCGTTTAGTGCTCAATAGGTGTATTATTACGGAGTAAACTAACAATCAGGGCAAACATGGACGCTAGGGTAGTTAGGGAATCCGAGCTGTTTTAATTCGATTCTATTCAGGTACACGTTGGTTTATTCAGCAATTCAAGTTTTACCGGTCCTGCCCAAGTTTACGGTCCGTGGTCACACACACCGTAGCACACACGATATGTGTTCACCCCAGCCGGTTAAGTCTGCTTCAGTAATCTTACCAGGAAAGCTTAGTTTCTGCTTTTTACTATAACATGTACAGCACAGTAAATAGATCAGACACTCAAACTTCAAGGCAGTGAAGAAAAAGTAAAAGTGAAATAAAATATAAGGACAACTATTGTCAAAACGCACCTTAAATGCTTACAGAACCAAACTTTTAACTAACTAAAGCAAGCATAACTTGTTGGAGCAGTAGGAACCGGAAGCAGACACTCAGTTCCATTGAATGCACTCACCGGAATTTGATAATGAATAGAGGCTGTCTACATGATCCTCTAGTCTTGCGATCCGTTGCAACAGTTCTTCTGGGCTGTTCATTGTCGAAATGCGGGGTATTTTCAAGCTAGCAATCTCGGCGTCATGGTGACCGAGTGGAAGGTCACCTACCAACTTTGCTTCGGGACCAGGGTTACCCGACTGCTGTTCTCCGTTCAATTGTGTTTCTTCCTCTGATGAAGACTGAGGAAACTCACTGAGTCCAATAGCTGCCGTTTGAAGAAAATCCGTTTTGACGGTCGGAATGCAGGTCAAATCGGTTGACTTCAACACAGGTGGACAGGAAGTTACTGGAGAGAAGTTACGAGCTTCTTTGCATTTCGAACAAACGTTCTTAAAATGAAGTCGGATTGTTTTGCAAGAACGGCAGTAGGAATTTGAGAGCTCCTGATGCGGCTTAAATGAAATCCTACCGCTATCGTCCTCGGTATATGTAAGTCCACTGTCGGCAAAATCCGGATATATTGGACAATTATCAAAAATGTTGGGTCGCTGATGATCGCTTCCTAAAAGCGGAGACTGCGGGAGGCTGAACTGTCGATCTGGTAGAAGACTTTTGCTGCGACTTCCCAGACGCCGTTTGCGCAAACGTCTTGGTTTTCTAATCACTCCTGAGTAAAACAAGAAAATGAATTAAATAAAGTTAAAGTTAAACGAAATTGAAGAGTGAGGAGTAAGCAGTGGAACTGACGAGGCTGATTATACGGATATAGTTATTTATTTTAGTTCATTAAAAACGATCGCACCTTTCGATAGTATCCACCAAGTTGTTTATCCTTTCACCAATATATCAATGCTTCTCAGTTAGGAAAGTTAATCCTGAAGTGAAAATATGTCACCACCCATGACAGTGATGGCCTAGATAGCTTTAATTTTCATTGTAAATAAAACCAGTGAGTGTAGTTAATGATCAAAACAACTGGACCAAACAAATACATAGAACCCAGTAACATGACGAGTGATTCAAAATGACACGCCAATCGGGACCGATTTGCTTGTATTGGCTCACGGCTCGTACACATCTCATTTACTGCCGAGACTGTTTTGTAGAAGCTGACGTCTCTACACAAACAGCTCCTCGGGAGTGGACACCATACGCCTAGACACCGTGAGTCACAGCAAGACAACTGGCAAAACCTCTTGCTCAGTTCTTTCAGCGCTGCTTAGAGCAGAACCGTATACCTGCAATCCGGAAGCTTGAAATAATAGACCTGATTCATAAAGGCGGAAACGGGACTGAACCCTCAAACTACCGCCCGGTGTCTCTTCTCCATCTATTATTCACAGTCATGGAATCCAACATTTCCGATGAGTTGGTGTGTTATCTAGACAACCGTACTACTATTCCACTTGAGCAGCACGGCTTTCGTCGAAAGCGTTTGTACACAACGAATGTATTAGTCACACGGAGCAGCTGAACCAAAGCGGCTGAAGCTGGAGAGGCTGCTGGTGTGAGCGACTTGGATTTGTCGAAGGCATTCGATCATTTAGGTCATCGGATTCTCCTTTCCATGCTCCAATATTAGGGATCGTTGACCTTCTCTTGAGCTGGACGGCCAACATCCTCTTGCAACGAAAATTAATAAACAGAGTCCAGAGTTCTTTATTTGACCTCATACCAGTCGAGTCTGGTGTGCTGCAGCGCTCAGTTCCAGGTTCACGACTGTTTTTGGTATACATCAATGAGCTTGCACGGAAAACCGCTTTAATTTCCCTGCTGTTTGCTGACGACCACAAGCTATGGCGCCTGATACACACGGATACCGATCAGAATTTCCTTCGTTGTAGCCTAGATTTGGTGCATTAGTGGTCAAGCTGAAATCCGTTGCAGTTCAACGTGGACAAATACAGGGTACTCTCCATCCGACACAATAGTATCTATTGCTACAAGCTAGGAATGCAAGTACTACAGAGATCAACGGTCGAACCCTACCTTGGAGTGCTTTTTCAGGATAAAATGGGTTCCTCCAAACAACCTGCAACGGCATCGAAAACTGGTAATCAGCAAGTCAATCTGCTACGACCGGCGTTCGTACAAATAAAATCCAGTGTTTTCAGACAGATACTAAATGCGATATCCGCCCACATATCGATACGCCATCCAAGCCCGGCAGCCATGGTTGAAGCAGGACCTTACTGCGCTAGACCAACCTCAAGGTCTGGCTTCTAAATACGTCATTGGAATGCGCCATCTTCCATACAAGCAGAGGCTGAAATGTTTGGTAGTATTCCTCGGGCGGTATCCCCGACTACTACGCGACTTGATTATGGCGTGTTTAATCTTACACAATCCAAATCACGTGTTCCGCTGTTCAGTGCAACCCAGCAGTGACACTAAACTTAGAGGTCGCTCCTTGAAATTAGCAGAACAGTACAGTCGGCTGGCTTGTAGCAGAAATTTCTTTCAAATTCCTGTGTGTCAACCATGAAACGCTCTCACCGAATCGGTTATTGCTGCACGCACGCTATCCATATAGAAAAAGCGGTTTGATGATGCACTCTGACAGTTACATTTTGTTACCTGACGCTACTGTCGTTCCTACTCCCGGGAAATACCTTGGAATTTTTTCGCCTACTAAAGCTATGGAAACACTCGGAGTGCAAGGCTACTGCATTACATACGATAAGTCCATTTGCTATGACAGTAGAACTATTTACTGCAATTGTTTCATTAACGTTGTTCCATAAGTTACCAGTTACTTAACGGGGCTTGTAAATCAGTGCCTCTTAACCCATGTGAAACCATTGTTTATTTTTTATTTTATGGATTACACTTTAAGTAATGCTCGAATTTTGGGATAAACCAATTCAGTGACACTATTCAAATCGTTATATATCAAGGACAGTTTTCTCTTAAACCGGATCTCCTAAACCGTAAAATTAAGTTGGTTACTGTTAGCTGGACTTGAAGGATAAAGGTTTTAACATTCAGTTCGCTGAAAATTTAAAGCAAACTCGAAAGCGTCAAGAACCATGTGTAAACCTACACTTCAAGCAATCTGGATTGATTGGGTAATGCACGTAGTTGAGAGTGTGCATTTTCACTACAATTACAGCATTATTTTGTCTTTCTGCCCTAAGCTGAAAGCACTGACACATACACACAGATTCGGAGTAGAACATCCTTCGTCCCCACCTATTTGATCCCAACGACGCGAGGTAATTTCCCTGAAAAAAATGCACTGTTTACTGGTGCACAAAGTATACTTGCTTTCATGATAAATATGCAACCAGGTTGAAAAACCAGCAAAAGGGAAGTCTGTGTGTTTTCGGTGGAAATAACTACTGATTTGTCAGCGTAGTGGTTCTATAGTTAAATTAACTATCACGAAATATGAAACCATTTTGTTATTTAGGAACCGAAAATTAGTTTAAGCAACCTAATGGCGTAACAATACAGAGCTAATGTGGGATTTCACATGTTAATAAAAGTTACCAAGTATTGAGGTGGCGTCTCTGTGGCCTAGGAGTAAAGTTGGGTTTGAAGAAGCAAGTGTCTCGCGAGTTTATGCTCAGCTTTCGATATATTTACATAAAGAGTCAAAGCAATATCAAGACCCTTGGTATTGCTCAGTGTCGGTAGTCACCAAATCACATTACCACAAACCTAGACGAGATCGCAATAAATTATATGACCGAGGTCTAGTTCGGAAATTAGCCAGATGGCAACAAATAATATTTTTTGTTTCTTGCCGTGTCCCAGTGAACAATCTGATCAATGTTCATATCAACGCTAATGGTTTTCCACAAAATGTTTGAGATTCATAATCTACTCACACTTTGGTTGACTGAAATGGGACAACAGTAGCATTAGACGCACTGTTATTGCTGTAACTGGAATCTAAATTGAATTAAGTTTCCATGCTTCTGAGTAATGCTGTCGCTTATGAAGTGTCGGACTTATTCATAGCAGTGGATTTCAACACCTTATTTTTCAAGCAAGTTTGGTGCCGTTTAAACACTTGTGATACATATTACCGAAGGTAGAAATGGAAATTGCGGCATGTGGTTAGCAGCTGGCACGTTGATCCGGTATTAGTTATGTCACCGGAGGACTAAACTTTCTAGTACATTTTATGCTGTGACTATTCAGTTCTTATTTCGGTTGAGCATTCATATGCTGTGTTTAACCACGCTTAAACACATTCAGGGGCTACTGCATGAAATAAGTACCTGTAGAACATGTAATTCAATCAACCGATCACTATGCAAATGCGATAGCTCAATCATTTCAAAGTCAGCCTTGTGTGGTAAGAGAAAAATTGGTTTTAGGCTAGCTCAATCATACAGATGTTTCTAAATATCTACTGCTTGTATTTGTTTCTTTCCTAGCAGCCTCATTTTTGTTATCTGAAGTACTTGTTTTTGCAGTGGACCGTGGGCTCGACCGTCCTACTCTCTCAATAGAAGTTACTTTTATCTAAACTGATTCATCGATTGTCTTTAGTAGTGCGTATTGACGAGAACGCAATTAAGTTGGCACCTTTACGGAATTTCACTCTGGTGTTCACGTTATGCATTTCAACTGTGATAAATATCACAATTAGCGTCACTGACAGTTCAAAAGAATGCGCATCTTTGTTTTATTTATACATTAGTTCAGTATTTAGCTATAAAACGGAATGATATATATACCTGCAGATTTCACTTAGGTGCTCGGTTCACTAGTTCAGGAACCGTGGCGCACCAATATATAACGTTACTGTTATTAGTTATCGTTTTACGCTAGTGGGCATCCAAGCTAGTCTAGATGGGTGAACCGAAACTTACGATTGGACTCATTTCTGAGAGAGTGAAATCCTCAGAAGTAAATTAGTTCATTGGAAGCCAATCGACTGTCCACATTTCATACAAGCAATTACTTCAAGTGAGTTGTTAACTGCGATCATGTTGCAGTTTTTCTGTTGCTATTGTAACACAGGCCATGAAGAACTAACCAACAAACTAAAGTTCAAAGAACGCATGGAAATGAAGATTAAAATACTAGGTCATAACGTGTATTCTAATCCAAAATAAATAGGTAACTTATAGGAAACAATAAAAGATAGATCTTAAAGTTACTTCATAAATGTCATACATGTCAGGCTTGCTCACCGTAACAAAATAAAACCCATTTTTGCATTCAACCTAGTGTGCTGTTTTACGATACCGTGATGGTGTTGAAATGACTGTTGACCTATTTCGCCCCGGTCATTTAGATTCTTAATAAATAATTTGCCACTTGTCACCGGCTTCCAAAGTCTTTAGATGGTCGCCATGAGCTAACTCAATAGGTAACGGCAGTACATGCGACCATTCACCATTCTTCTCATGACGACAGGAGCAACAATACTACCTACACACTGGTGCGGATAAATCTCGCGAATGTGTCACAGCAGAGATAATTGAACTAATTCCTACTCAATTCTATAAATTTGCTATTGCCATTCAATTATATGGCAAGTGTTTAAGGCGTACTCAGAGCTTCTGTATCGATTGTTGACCAAGGAACCAGGAAGGTAACTATAGAAGGCGCTAGCTGCCAGCATCAGATCTATTGGTTTAATTTTCTGCTTCAGCGATCTCAAATGAAAATATTCCGCAAAGGAAATACTGGTAGCGCAGTGAAGAC